GCTTTATTTGTTAAGATTTGAGATATATTGATGAAAAATAGGAGATTAATAATTGTTGAAAATTATAGTTAAAAAAATAGTACATAAAAAATATTAAAAATAAATAATTACATAAGTAGCAATAAGGTAGGATTCTTCACGGGTTAGTTTTAATTTTGACAATTATTAAAAATTATAGTTAGAAATTAGTAGAAAAAAATAGTAAAAATTAATAATTACATAAATACCATTAGAATTTTTTAGTGTTCCCCATCGTTTCTTTACTTTATATATATACTTTATATATAAGATATGAAAGGGCTTTTAGATAAAATCAGCTTATTTTTTAATTCTTTAAAAAATAATTATATTTTTTTTCAATGATTTTTCTTTTTCATTTTTATAAAAAAAATATATTAATCGACTATACTTCGACTAAAGTATAGTCGATTAAGGACCTAACTACTAAAATTATTGATGGATAATGGAATTGACGTCGTCCGTGTCGCCACGTCCCCCTCCAACATCGACCACCTCCCCTCCACACCGCCGCCACTACCACCCACTGACCCACAATCGCGCCCTAGTTCATTCTCAAATGGAACGGGGCAAGACCAGTCCATTGGAAGGGTACATTGGGAAATTTAAATTTGTGAGGAGGGGGTTTTATTAACTAGATAGATCAATTAATTTGTTATTTTCTATTTCAAAAAATTTAGCCGAATCATATATACAACCATCATATTATCCAGTTGTAAAATCTGCAGCCACTCGAGCACACGATAAGTTACGGGTCTATCACGAAATATATAAATCACACTAGACTTATCATATATTACGAATTCAACCTAATTTGCAAATATTGGCTTAACCATGATTAGTGGGTGGTCAAATTGTTCTTCTCTTTTAGGGTTTTGAAAGGGAAATGGCCAAACAAAGACGACGTCGTTCAAAAGGTAGATACTTCCTTTTACATATCCCTTGTGCAAAAGGATATTCAAAATTTTATTATTATTTTTTTTTCTAATTTTTATTTATTTATTTAAATATATATATATATTTTTTAAATTCAATATGAGGACTATATTTAAACACTGTCCCTTTCACCAAAGAATCCAAATTCCAACGTATAGATTACAGAAAGAAACCACTAGTTTGTGTCAATTATTTGTAACTTGACTTACTTGTTTCAAACGGTACTTGAACACACACAAATTCAAATTTATTTATATGTAATCAATTTTAATATTTTTTTAGCTCTCAAATTAAATTAAATTTTAAAATATTATGGTGGATTTGAAAGATTCTTTATCTGAAATCAATCAAAATATTTGTTTACTTATGGACAGTTGTTTATGTAGATCTACGATTTTAAAATCACATGATGTATTTCACCGGGTATATCATCTCATAAGCCGCATATCACAGTATAAATACACAAATATAAATGTGAGTGTGTGTAAAATATGTATTGGATAAAAAAATATGCATATTGAATATTATTCCATTCGTCTCATATTATTTGTATATTTGAAGATTTCAAGAAAACATTAATTGTATTTTTTTTTTCAATTTTACTCCTTAGAACTCTTAATTAGTTAGTTGAACCACAATTAATAACAAGGATATTTCAATATTTAATATAGGGTAAATTCCACTTTACCCCCTTGTACTCTGCCCAAGAACCACTTTACCCCCTCGTACTCTTAATTTCGTCGATTTACCCCCTTGTACTTGTACAATTTCTCAATACAACCCTTTTCGTCAACCTTTTTCGATTTTGACTCTGACGCCATTTGGTCAAGAGTCAAAATATTGACGTAAATATTGAATTTTTTCGATTTTGACTCTCGAGATTAGAAAAGAGAAAGTTTTACACATTCATATATTTTTTTCTTTGCACTAGGTGAAATCGATCAATTTTCAGGTCTTGATTTTTACTAAGTTAGCGGTTCAATTTGGGGATATCTTGGAAGGGGAAGTGGTGGGAGAAGAAGAAATGACAATATTGACGGAGGAGAAACGACACGTTATAGGCAATAGCAATTTTGTAATTTACAGAGTTGACCAAACGGCGTCGGAGTTAAAATTGTCAAAAGTTGAAGGAAATGGCTGTATTGAAAAATTGTACAAGTACAAGGGGGTAAATTGATGAAATTGAGAGTACAAGGGGGTAAAGTGATTCTCAGACACAGTACGAGGGGGTAAAATGGAATTTACCCTTTACTATATTGTTTTGTTGCAATCTATACAAATTTATTGAGTTCCTTAATATGTGCGCTAAAAAAAACGACATATAATGCGAAATGGATGGAGTAGCTAATAAAATTCACAATACAATAAACCGTTGACATTCTACATCGAATAAAAATCACGATTGAAAAGGGCTTAGAAAATGAGAAAAGGACCAAAAAAGCCCATTTTCAAAAGTAAATTGGGCCAAACTAATACGACTAGAAGTCTGAAGGTCTAGTTTTAAATAGGTCAAACATCAATAATATTTATTTTCAATTTATTTTTTTTAATTCAGAAAATATTTTTGGCTGTTGTTTCAATTTAAGTGAGATCAAATCAGTGTGTGCTAAATAAAAACATGTCAAATGTCTATTTGATGAGTGGTCTAGTTTAATACTTCACCAACCGTTCGAACCCTAATGTCTAGGGGCGTAAATCGGTCGGATCTTAATTAGCCCTTTCGAAATTAAAAAAAAAAAAATCATTTTTTTTTTGCAAAATTGAAAAACTAATTTCAATTCCGTTCCACAAAATTTTCAAAAAAAAACGAAAGTCGGAATTTCAAAAATTGGAACGAAAAACCTTGCTCCAAAATTGAAAATTTTCGAATCAGAATCGGCAGATTTCGGCGGTTTCCAATTTTTTTATCACCAAAAGCATAAAATGCATAATAGTATTGATATTTTAAGTTTGATGATATTCAGAAACAAATCGAAGTTTTCAGAAATCGCGATCGCATTCCGATCCAAATAGTTTTGGAAAAAAACAGAAATTGAAAATTTGAAATTCGAGATGAAATTTTTTGTTCAAAAATCGGGAAATTTCGGAGTGGAATCGACAGGAAAAAAAACAGAAATTGAAAATTTGGAATTGGAGATGAAATTTTTTGTTCAAAATTCGGAAAATTTCGGAGTGGAATCGACAGGAAAAAAACAGAAATTGAAAATTTGGAATTCGAGATGAAATTTTTGTTCAAAAATCGGAAAATTTTGGAATGGAATCGACGAAAAAAAAAAATTGAAAATTTGGAATTCGAGATGAATTTTTTTGTTCAAAAATCGGAAAATTTCGGAGTGGAGTCGACGGAAATCCAAAACTCCGTTCCAATTTCCACCCCTACTAGTATCCAATAAAGCACAAATGTACACAAAAAAATAAAAAAAAAATCTATTCTCGTTTGTTTCCATTACACGATTTTCGGTCCAAATCATCGAACTTCCTCAACAAACCTTGTCCAAAACATGGAATTTCGGACAAGAAAACGAATGTCTCTGTTACTTAAAAGATAATACAGGTGAAAGAAAAAAAAAGTATATGCCAAAATGAAGTCTCAACAAACTATTTCTAGATTAATTTCTCTCAAGTCCCTAAAAATAAGTAAAAAAAAAAATGCTCACTCAAGCAAATTACGAGTTTCGGAATTGTTCGAATGATCAGTTTCAACATCCGGTGACTTCCTTTTTCGACAAATCGTCGAGGGGGGCCTAAAAATAAATAAAATTAATTAATTAATTAAGGACAACAAATACGAAAAAAAAATCGTATGAAAATACGAAAGGTTTAGGGTTAAAATAAAATACCCTAACTGCAGAGTCGTATCGGAGTCAACGGCATCTTCTAGAACCTTTTCGGGGCTTCTAGAACCTTCTTTGATTAAAGGCAGAGTCTCGCTCGGGATTGAATTGTACTCGATACAAAGCATATTTTGATAACTGGTTGATGGAAGATATGCTCGAAACTCTTCAATCTACATTATAGTTATAATAATAATCTAATATCAGATTTTATTTTCCGAAATAAATAATATTAAGAGGTAAAAAAAATTTAGTGAAATTGTGGTTTTGCCTGTCTGCGTAAGATCTCGTTTGCCATCTCGGCCCTTTTTTCCTGCAATTAATGCCGAATCAAAGACTTCTTCTTAGACAATGTAAAATAATATAAATAAATAATAATAATAACAATAATACATATACACACACACACAAAGAGTTAAACTTCCATAAATTAATACAGTCGGGACTAGTGAAATTCTATTAATTTAGCGAATTATTAAATTATCGAGTTACTAATTTAACACGTTTTCACCGAGTCGGGACCGATAGAAACTATTATTTAATCGAGGTTATTAATTTATCGAGGTTCTACTATATATATATATATATATATATATATATATAAAAAATTCTCACCTTAACTTTATATTGTTCTACTTGCTCAAGTAACACCTTCTCCTGCAAATTTAGCAAAAAATATTCAGGAACCGGAAAAAAAAATTATCTTGAAAAAAACAAATTTAATTAGTATAAAAAAAACTATTTAATTAGTATAAAAAAATAATTTAATTAGTAGAATTAAAATTGGATTGAAATGCTAAACCTTTTTATCCTTAATGCAGATAAGCCCTTCGTTTAGCTGTTGTTCGAGTGCACCCAGTTCTTGTAAGCTCATGCCATCGAGATTTTTACCCAACAATTGCCTAAAAACACCACATCAAGAATAAAATAAACGTCTCGAGAAAATTAATAATTAAATTAACAAAAATTCAGATTATTAAATAAATCATACAGCTGCTTTATTCTGAGCTTTTCGATCTCCCCTCTGAAGAAATCTGCCTCATGGGGTTCCGTTTGTTCCTGCTTCTGGCGCTTCTGCTCACAACCGTAAAAAAAAAAAAAATAATAATAACGAACTTATAACATAATTTTTGCCATGTAATAAAATAAATTCAAGAAAAATCGCTACTTTGACTAAAGTTTGTCACCAAGGCTTTCGAAAACAGAGAATCGTGTATCGAGAATAAAAATTAAAGAACCCTTTTTTTTCAAATTCCACCATATCAATAAGGCGTCGTTCGTCATGAATATACAAAAAAAAAAAAAAGAATATATATATATATGTATGTATGTATGTATATTACCACAGCGGGAGCCTTTGTAACCTCCAACCCTCTCTTGTATCTTGCAAGTATGTTCTTCATGCTGCAAAAAAATAATTCTTTTTTTGTTAAATATGATGTTTCGAAAGATTGATTTTTTCGACTAAGATTAATAAAATTAAAACCCTCGAAGACAGTAATAAAATCGAGTTTCGACTATTTACAAAAAACGACCGAAAAGACAGCCATTTATGTTCTGCCACAAAACAACCCTTCGAAAAAATTGCAAAACAGGGGAAATTTTGTTTATTTCTGCGTGTAGTGTTCCGTATATAGCCACATTGTATTTTACAAACTTCCGTTGTGAAAATTTTGGTTCCAAGATCAAGAAAACTCCCAAAACTCGACACAAATAGGAACGAAAAATTACGAATCCAATCAATTTACAGAGAAAACCCAATCTCTCCCAAACCATGAAATTTTGCAATTTTACACTAACTTAAAAAAAAAAACTCTATTTTTCGCAAGAATAGCAGAACCAACCACATTTTTTTAATACTACAACAACAAAATTAATTAAATCTGGTAACTACAGTTAGCAAATCAAGTTTAATTATATCAAACCCTGAACAGATTAAAAATTCAGAGAAATAATTAAATAAAGTTTAAATCAAGAGGGGGTCTTCCAATTAATTTGCACCTAAAATTAAAAGATTTAATTTTTTTTTTTTTTTTTTACTGAAATCTTGAATTCCCCCAAATAAAAACCCAATCTAGCAAACATGCAAAATTCCAATCCGATAAATCCGCTTCAATTAATTCATCCCAATCCCTCGAATTAAATTAAAAATAAAAAATAAATAAAAATTGAGCAACACATGCAACAAAACCCCCAAATACAGAGATAAACAAATCTGGCAAGCCGAAAATTGAGAAGGAAGGGCACATGCAGAGAGAGAGAGAGAGAGAGAGAGAGAGAGAGAGAGAGAGAGAGAGAGAGAGAGAGTACTCGGAATTGCAGAATTCGAAGAGCTTTCCGGTGTTGGAGAAAATAATAACGGCGACCTCGGCCTCGCAGAGCACCGCCAGTTCATGGGCTTTCTTGAACAACCCAGACCGCCGTTTGGAGAATGTAACCTGCCTGCTGTTTGCATTCTCTATTTTTTTAATCTCGATTTTGCCCCTACCCATTTATTCTCTCTCAAAACCCCCCTAGAATCTCCGGCCAAAACCCCCCAAAAGATAAAAAGCAAGCCGATTTTAGCAGCGCCTCTGTGTGTGTATGTGTTTTCTATTTTTGCACTACCAAAAAAAGAAGAAGGAAGAGAGAGAGAGAGAGAGAAAATAGAAGAGAGAGAAAGAGTTGCCAAAAAAAGGAGAGAGAGAGAGAGAATAGAGAGAGGTGGGTTATGGAGAATTGGGTATTTATAACAAATGGCATCGAAACGGCAAGCTTTCCTGCATGGCCTACTCTTCTATACACTGCATGACTCTCTCTCACTTTCTCTCTCTTCTTTCTCTCTCTCTCTTCTTTTTTCTTTTGTTTTCCTAATTAATATTTGTTTTATGTGGGTCCCACTTTCCGCTTTTCAGGTTTTCTTGACATTCCTAATATATGAAAATTTCTTTTTGGTAAAAACTTTTCGTACCTTATTCATGAAATCGTCCGAATCTGCCTAGATTTGGTATTATCAACCCTTTCAAGAATCCCATTTTTCTCTTTCTTTAGGTCCTTTTTTTTTTTTTTTTTTTTCTATATTTGTGATAATTTTTATTTATTATTTTTTTATTTATATGTGGGTTTGCTTTTTTTATTGCATCTTGGGCAGAGTAGTACTATATTTAAGAAATATCATTTTTTTTAATTGAAATTGAAATGTTTACGAGATTTGGTTTATTTATTTATTTTTCTTTTAAATTTGTGGTAACTGATAAGTATTGGGATCTATTTATTTGTGGGTTGTTTCTGTTTTAGTTGTTCGAACTTAGCAAATAACTAGAATGAAAATAAAAACCCTAGATATTGGGGAAATTGACTACTAGTCAAACAAGTATGGAAAAAAAGATAGTGAAATGACATTGTTGCCCCCATGGAATATATAGACTATAGTTTACACATTTATTTGCAATTTTGCATATATATATATATATATATATGAATTCGAATAGGTGAGTTATGTTTTTTTTTTTTTGAGAGTAATAGGTGAGTTATGTTGAATTTGTTTGAATTGAGAGTGTGATTCTTAAAATTTATATATATTCATGTGTATACATTGAGAATCTAATTTCTAAATAATAATAATAATAATAATAATAATAATAATAATAATAATAATAATAATAATAATAATGTTGGGCTTTAAGCCCAATAAGTGTGCTCATGGAAGCTTGGTCTTATTAGTGAACAACCCTCAAACCTAAATAAGCTCGTATCATACGAGTCGGGCCGACGGCCCAACGACGCCGAACTAATCCTTTCAGATAGCATTTTGGTTTTGCTTCCACTATTTCTTCAACGAATATGTGTTTGTTTAGCTTTCGAAATATTTTTCCAAATCAATTCTAAAAGTTTCTCTATTGTTCAAACATACTTTAAATGCTAGGTTAAAGAAAGTAGGGGTTGTCTAGGGTCCGAGAGGGGTTGTACTACTCGGACCCAAACGATTTAATCTGGTGCGTAGAAAATATTTAGTAAAAATTTATAGTCGTTGATTTAAAGTACGAACTAGTACGATCCAGTACGAACCTATGAATTTATAAATTAAAGTACGAACCCAGTAAAAATAGATCGTACAAAGGTCGTACTCCATCGTACTTCATGTAAAATTACTTTATTAACCTTACATTATTAAACCAGAGAATTAAAAGTAGGGTTAACTGTACTTTGCCCCTAACTTTGGTCATTTTTGCTCTTTTGCCCCCCAAATAAAAAAAAATTCCACGATCATACCTCAACTAACTAATTTAGCTCAATTTCACCAATTAACCAATTTTTGACCATAATTTCAATTTTGACCCCAATTTTGACTCGCCACCACCGGAGACCGCCACAGACCCACGGTCTTCGGCGTTGACTTTTTTGTTTTTCAAAACTTTTTTTTTTGTCTGAAATTTTTTTCCGCTAGCTCAATCGCAGGGTCTCCGGCTTTGATTTTTTTCTTTTAATTTTTTTTCTGAAAAAAACTATTTTAACTAATATTAATGTATTGACTGTTAAATTACAGTCTCCAGCAGTTATTTAACTATCGGAGAGAGTAATTTAATGTTAATTAACCTTTTTTTCCTTCAAAAAAAAATATATTAATTAATATTACTATCTTGACTGCTAAATTACTGTCTCCACAGTTATTTAACTGTTAATTGACTTTTTTTTTTTCTTAAAAAAATATTTTAATTAATATTACTGTCTTGACTACTAAATTACTGTCTTCAACAGTAACTTCAACTGTTGGATACAATAATTTAAATGTTAACTGACTTTCTTTTTGGAATTTTTTTTTTCTAAAAAATATTATTTTAATTAATATTACTTTCTTGGCTCAAAATTACTGTCTCCTACAGTAATTTAACTGTCTGAGACAATAATATTATTGTATTAATTAATTTTATCGTCTTGGCCTGCATTATTGTTGTTTTCGACTGTAATATTATTGTCTTCGACCGTAATATTACTGTCTCAAGCAATAATATCACCGTTTGGGACAGTAATATTAGTAATATTACGGTTCGGGAAAATAATATTCATAATATTACTGTCTGAAACAGTAATATTATTGTATGAGACCGTAATTTAGTAAGCAAGATTGTAATATTAATTAAAATGTATTTTTCTAAGAATTTTTTTTTTCAAAAACGAAATAAAAAGAAAAGTCAACGCCGGAGAACGGCGGTCAACTACGATTGACCGGCCGAAAAAAAAAATTCAGAAAAAAAATATTTTCAAAAATAAAAAGTCAACGCCGGAATCTGGCCGAAAAAAAAATTATTTTCTAAAAAAAAATATTTTTTTAAAAAAATATTAAAATGGGGGTTAATGTGATATATTTGTTTAAATTCGGGGTCAATATGTAATATTAAGGAAGTTAGAGTATAATGGATGAAATTGATAAAAAATATATTATGAAGGGTATTTTAGAGTAAAAACATAGTGATGGGTTAATTTGAAAGATTGTTGTTTATATGGACCAATATGCATTTAAGTCTCTTGTCATGACCCTAATTATTAATTATTATTAATTGTTACTTAAGTTTTAGTTATAGGGGTTTTTATGTAATTTCACCTATAAGGTAGGTATCGTACTTTTTTTTATGGGGTTCGTACAAATCATACGTGTCACATTTTTATTATTGGTTGATTTTCAATCGTTTGGGTCCGAGTAGTACAACCCCTCTCGGACCCTAGACAACCCCAAGAAAGTAACTTCTCTAAAAAACAACTTACGTCACTTTAGTTTTCATATTCTTTTTGCAATATTTTTTCCCAACATTTTTAAATCTGATTTAACTATTCCAATATTTGTTATAGTCATAATTTCCAAATCATAAACTATAATTACTTCAATTTTCAAAATCGTACCACGAAAAATCTTTCCAGAATAAAATGAAAAACAACCCGAAAAAACTTCCAAACTTAGCATTTTGGTCCATCTTATGGAGTTTGAAATGCAAAATTAAATTAGGTAAAGGTAATTACAACCAGCATCTGAGCTATGGTCAAATTACGTTAAACATTCTCATGTTTGAGTAAACTATAACTACCCCTTAA